CAGCAGAATACCTTTAGTTCTTTATGGCTGTGCTAATCAGTCAGTAATTAAAATTTTACTGTACAGCACGAATAAGCAATTTTAGATACCTGACTAGACTAATAAAGCTAGTACAATGTTCCAACTAAAACATTTATGTCCAGCAGTCAATGTCTGCTATGTGTGTAAGGAATAAACCAAGGGCCAAAATCTCCAGAGACAGATCAGCAGAAAAGATTTGGTTAAATGAAAAAAAACCCAACAAAACTGAACAGACTTTTCTGTATCAGTAAGTCTAGCTTCTTGTTATTGGAGGCAGCCACACCATAGTATCATTTATAAACTTATCAAATACTCAGAAAACTAAGAACAGCCTTGTGCAACTTTTGAATGGGAACTGTGGATATAATGGAACTGTGTTGAATATTGTAATATTAAGAATTTATTACAGAGCAGGATAAAGATTAACATCTATCACACTAGTCACGGTTTATCTTTCCAGTACAAGAAATATTTAGTAGTTTACAAATTATTGCATGATTTCTTTGGAGCTTCTGTATTATCAGTGAAATAGCAGCTTCAAATACTAACACATAATACACAAACATAATACAGAAATATATACAAGCCACAATCAGGGTCTATACTTAAATATTGAAGTGCCATGCTACATCATAAATATAGAGTTATAAATAAAATATTTTCCTTTTCATGCACAGTTTGCTTTAAATGAAGAATACTGTAATTTAAGATTTTTTTTTTTGTCTTATTACATCATGATCCATTATTTTGAAGTCTTATAATGATCTATTACTCAAAGCATTTTTCCTTGATAGAAAACTAACTTCCACTCCACAGTTTAAAAATTTCTTTGGTATCATATGATATCTATGACAGATTTCACTTGGAGTCATTTAATAAAAACAAATGTTTAATTCAAAAATGTCAATCTGAAGGTACAACAGAGAAGCCCAATTCAGTTTTACAATTGAAATCAATCCTTCTGTAGCATCACCATCTCGTGGCCAATCTTGGTAGCAATGCACTGCTTCAATTACATCAAAATAAATTCAACTTGATCCCATTTTATTTCACAACTCAAGGAATCTCACAGTGTAATCACAAGTTTCTATGAAATTCTGGCACTAGCTGCCTACCTACCTGAAAATATTCTTTAAAATGTTTGGGACAGCATATTTGTGAAGGATTTGAAGTTTGACCATTTTCACTATCTCTTCATGACTCTCTACCATTAAACAAAAAAAAAAAAAAAAAAGCTGTTTTACAGAATTAGAGTTCCACTTCACACAGTATTAAATAGGGAACAGAAGACACGAAATCTTCTGGGTCAACTTTACTACTTTTATGCTCGAGACATATGAAGTATACATTTCTTCTTAAACTGACAAAGCTCCACCCTAACAAGACAAAATCTGTAAGCCCTGTCTCATGTTTAAGCTTTAAATCAGTACGGCTAGTATCAATTATTTCATGCTAATTGCAAACGTGCAGTATTTTAACCCAACCTGAATCTGAGGTAGCCCATCCCTCTGTCAAGAAGTTAAACCACCTTGAGTTACCATAGTACATAACATGGAACATTTGATAAATAGTAGTCACATGCTCATCCTCTAAAAATTGGGGATACACATTTGTCTTTTTGGTCATTGAAAGATGCCCTTTGAAAAACATTCACCTGTCCAAGCAAGTTGTAAAAGCTGCTTTAAGTCCTAGAAAATTTGAAAGCTTCTCTTGAGAATCAAATGTAAACTAGTTAACACCAGGCATCTCCCTTCTTCACTATCTTCTATTCATGTTCTGTATTATTGCTCTAGACTGCAGAGGGCTTGCTATAAAAGAAGGTATTCCTCAAAATCTGATTCCGCTGCCCTCTGCAGCATTTCTTAAAAAGCAACATATGATCATAAAACCAGTGTCTACATTTGTTCTTCAAATTAATAACACTTCACATTTCAAATACAGTGTATTTGACATTTATATTTTAAAAAAAAAATCTTCTCTTCTTGTTAGTGTAATAAACACAACATCCTCTATTACACTTAGTTTCCTTAAGCAAATGTGCTATTGAGAGCTGCTAACAAAGCTAATCGAGATCTTGCGTATTAGGCAAGACCTGGTCTTGCACAGTGCATCAAGCCAAACTACCAAATAAATTACACACAGCACTCAACTCAGAGCTGTTGCTGCTAAACTGATCTTCAGCATGATCTATGCCAAAACTACGAACATCTTGCAGATAATCAGGCAAAAAGAAGAGAGGACCAGCTATGCTGATAAGACAATAGCAACCTTGGGGTTTTTTCCTGACATACTCACGTTTAAGTCTTAACAGCATTTATTCCAATAACTTTAGCAAACCATCTCCTGACTGAAAAGGAGTTTTGTGAGCTTAAAGGTATTTTACTCTAAAAGGTCCCAAAAGACTCCCAGGGCCTATGAAACTACGGATGCACCCCTCACTCCAAATACCTTAAGACCTCAGACTGATTATAAATGATCTATACAAAGCAGTTAATTTCTTCAGGAGAGAAGCCAGCCAGCAGCCAACTTAGCATCAGGATTCAAAGTTCCACAAAATGTTGGTAAAAAACCTACAACCTGGAGCACCCTCCCCAGTTTTCAGATGAACAAAGTTCAGAGAAATTTCAGTTCTGCCATACATTGCTTTGAAATTAATAGAGAACAGACACCTGAAAATAATCCGTGTATGCTATAAATGGTAACACGCGTTGCACAATGGTATCTCTCTTACACACATTCTTTCCTATCAAGTGGTGATTTCCCAGCACTTACCAATTTGAGAAAGATAACAGTAATCCTTCTTAGAGACCTAAGATACACACTATTTTGAAAAGGCCTCACCATATTTTATAATTATACTTACATGCTGCTTAACTCTATTTCCAGAATAGTTTAAATGAGATGTGGTTTCTTTCTTCCAGAACAGAGCAGCAGAGTTGTATATTCAGTGTGCCCCAAGAAAACCAAAAAATTATCAGCTTAGATCACATCTGAGCAGAACGTAGAGTACAACCATTCATATCTATTTCTGTAAAAACTCTTCTGTGTTTTACATCAGTGTCTTTACAGAAAGTTACAGTAGTTAGATAAAGCTCAATTAAAACAGACAATTAAGAGTCTCATATAACACTCTGAACACAACCCTCGCTTGTTTGTGGAGACTGCCTGATAGGATCTCTGTATGGTAGAGATCACTCATATCGCAGAGAGGTAAGAAATTAAGTCATCTTCCATGGAATGTTAATATTGTCAATATCAGTTCCTCACTTCTATATTTCTGTAGTTGGCCATTTGTAAAAATAATCTGAAATAAAGTCAAATACGGGAACTATCCTGAGTAGTCTGGTTTCCCTTAGATCCAGGCAGCCAGAAGAAACCAAGGTAATTACAGACCTTCGAACAGTCTCAAGTACAATGAAATCACACCTAGTCAGTTCCAAGAAATAGATCGTCAATCTCACATAGTCATTCTAGAATTTTAATTTTTTATTTCTAGGAGTTTCTGGATTGTGAAATGCATTATATTTGATCACTTATTGCAGGCAGTTTTACAGTTTGCCTCTTTGCCTTTTTCATCTCTTTATGCCTTCTGAAGTGCAAGACTAACTGCACTATGAATTAGGAAAAGCTTGTAAATAAACACAGCTGACCTTAAGTCCCTGGAGGCAGAGGATTTTTTCTTTTCTATTATTTCTAATGGTTGCACACAAAATGTGTTACTCTCTGAATATTAATAAATTCAGGGAATTAGACATGTGAAAGTGTATTACTATGTGTAAGCAACAGAAGATTGAGGTCCTAGTCATCCTCAAAATGAAAGGTTTGTCATATTAGCATTCTTAGAAGGCGCTTTAGAAGTCAATATAGCCCACTTCAAAAAGGTTATTCATTAGGGCTTAAAGAATTCAGCTTGTCTAGTTCCTGAAGACTGTGGAAACACAGAGAGTTCATTATGGAGCTATAAGTAAAAATAAATGTGTTTAATATCAACCTATACATTTTAAAAATCTTAGAAAAGCTGGAACACCATTACTAAACACACTCGCCCGCTACAGTTGGTTCCTGCATAGAATCCCTACAAGTCAATTATAAAGAGCTGATACATTCAGTAAGATTTTTCTTCATAATAAAAAAAAAATCTGGAAAAGTAAATAGATTCAAAACAACTTTTTCCTTAAAATATAGCAACACTTGTTACAGTACACTTCCAATTTCATTCACAAAGGATACTAGCGCACACCAACAATTCATGCTAAAAATACCAAGCTATAGGCCTACCACAATGTAAGCCCATCTCATCATTCCGAAGCCCAAATACTCACCAGCATCAAATAATTTCTCCTTTTTTTCCTCAAAACAAGCTATAAGAACTCAAAGGTGTTGTAGAAAACAGCATTTAGCCTGACACACTAAAATATTAGGCTATTCAGAAAATGATTACACCACCTCTCCCTACTAACCCAGTAAATAAAACTGCCTGCTACAACCCCCTCCAAAACCTCAGACTCAGTTTGTCCTCCTAATTTTTAAATCTGTCTTGAAGTTACTAGAACTGTTTCGAGAATAACGGTGCTACATGCTGAAAAACTCCAGAGACATATATTACACTTGGTTTATTACACTTTCCACATAGGTCCTCAACTAAAATATTTACTAGAAACAAACTGAGAATTGATTCTACAGGATCCTGATAGAAAACCCAAACCACAACTAACAGCAGTAACTATAGTACCCCCCAAAACTACACCCAAGACCTTAAGTTACCTACATTTGTTATCTGGGCATTTTGCTATCACACATGTTCAGTCAGAATGCGTGGAACTAAGTCAATGCCTTAACATGTACAAAGCGGATTTTACAAATGAGCATTTCTGTAAACACCAGAACGTATATCATGCATTTTTTCCCCCCCACAAAATTATATCCCCGGAGAGTATACCAAAACAGTTCAGTCTTATAACAACTTTAAAAATGCCTACCTTTACTGGTGAAATATGAGAATGGGAAACAAATCCATGGACATTCTCAATCTGTGACAGATTCTTCTCCGATACATGAACTAGTTCTGGACCCGTCACCTCATTGCTAATGTGTGGAGAGCTGTGCTCCTGTGGAGGTGTATCTTCATCCTGGTAGCGGTATTTCTGAAGAAAACAATTATAGAAAAAGATCAGTCCACCACAGAAATGTGAAAAGATTATCCAGAAAACCAGAAATAGTTGGGTTTTTTGACCCTGCTAACTTCAAGGTAACCAAATCTAGAAATAAAAGTTTTAATTGGTATTTTCAGTTTAAAGACTTATCCCATCCAAAAATCTTCCATCCTTTTTAGTCTCACATAGAACTACTATAAAGCTATTTAATTTTCTTTTCCCTATTTGCATACAGTAACATGTCCTGAAACCCTTTTCTAAATAACTTTACCTTTACTAGTCTTATCCTACAGACACTTTAACACTATCTTATTCACTAATAGCAGCAACTCCCAGTACCAATTGGATTTATCACATTGTCCTGCCTTTAAAGACTATCAGCCTCAAAAGCTTTTTTCCATACTTCCAATTTAGCACATCTGTCAAAAGTGGGTTTTGTCAACTAAAGAGTTTGAGCTTTTATATTGGAGTATCAATATAGCAATTCACTACTGCTAACTTCATTATGAAACAATAAAATGTGGGTTTGCTACTAGACAGATAAAACTTCCCCAACAAGTAAATCTTCAAACAAACAGAAGACATTATGCCTTCTCGGTCTTACTAATTTGCATTCAGTTTTAAAAACCAGAACCTATTACTTAGCTGCCAGGGATGCATGCTGGTCAGACTGTGCTCTATCCACACTTGCAGATCCCTACTAAAAGGTATTAATGAACTCAGGAGTACACATAACATTCACCTGTTCTCTGGACTGCAGAGTTAACTGCTCATCCAGCACCTCCAAACTCCAGAGCTAACATGGGCTCGCATTACAAACATACTTAAATATAAGTTTCACCCCAGTTTCACCTCTGTAGTCTCAGCCAATTCTGCGGCACTTTAGGTAGCCCACACATTTTATTGCTAGTTAAAACTAAAGCTAAAAACTGAAGTCATGTAACTTTTTTCCATTAGGGTTTACTGTGTCCATAAGATGCATCCCAACATGTTATAACAACATTCACTTTCACATACTACTACTATACTCTGGAGTACCCTTCATTGTTGAGACCATATGACATCAAGTTCTAGTATGAGAGAAATTATGCTTTTGAAGTATTGGAAATTATAAAGTAGAAGCAATACAAGTGTATTTTCTCTAAAAATATCAATGATTAGCAGAGAAGTACAAGGCAGAAGAAATAATTCCGAAGGGGACAACAAGAGCATTAAGACTTCTGCTATTACAACAACCAACCTCCAAACACTTCCGTACCTTCTCCTTAGCTGGATGGCAAAGGAGAGACGGTGAATGCTGATAGTTGTGAAAAATTGCAATAGTTACTCCAAAAGCCCTAATTTTTCAAATCTTTAGCAGAGAGGTTTCACGAGATGACCAAGCCAACTCAATAGCTCACTACTAGCAGAAGATAAAAGTTCTTTTTCTTTCCTATCCCTGTAGGAGTGAGATGCTAGATTGCTCAGACTCAGATTCCTGCCATTCATCTATTTTCAGAGATTGACTTGTTTTTAACTTACTCTGAAAGGAGTTGACATTAACTCTCTAGAGCAGTCATGTCAAGCATCAGAAACGGGAAAGAATTATCATTTAAAGAACAGTATTGGACAAAAATACAAGTGAACATTATCAGAGTATAAATAACATTGGAAATTAGAGAAAATAGACATTAGACCTTCAAGAACAGAAAATGTCTTGCAACATCAGAGAAAGCAGGACTTCTGCTAGCTTAAAGGAGCCTGCTCCGCTGGTGAAGGCACTGCTTGGCTGGACTTGTGATCCAAAAGGTCCCTGTCAGATCTCAAGTTTCGATTTGACTATGAAATACAGGAAAATGGGACCTGAAAGCGGATTAAATTCCCAGATCATCTCAGACTAGACCCTGTGGAAAGCCAGAACTGGATCATTCCAGTTTTATTACCAAAAAAAACCAAAATAAAATAGACACAGGTTGATCAAAATTAACTTCCTTTACAGAACAGTCAATACCTTTAGGCAAATCACAGAAGTACCTTGATTTTTTTCCTGAAACTAGGTACATTTATTAGAAACAGACATTTGGACATACCTGAGCGTAAACATGCTCTAGATTTCACTAAGAAATATATGGTTACCTTGTATAATGTATCAGTGCTTATAATAACATAATGCATATGAAGTTTTAGTAGATCAGTATGTCATTACTTAGATTAAAAATGAAAAAGCCTTGTGGTAAAAGATTCTTTCCCATACAAGGCACTGACAAGGACTATATAAGCTTCTCAAAAACATCTTAAATGTGAACTGCTAATTGGATTTTGATGCGATATTCAAGATTGACTTTACTATTATTTGCAAAATATTTCCCAGCTTGAAACTACTATAAAAAACCAGAATTCATGTTTAAAATACACTAACTTAAATACTTAGAGGATAACGTTTCAAAGTGCAAATAGAAGACAAGGACACAAAGTGCATGAAAACATAATATCCACAATACGTATTCTGAAGGTACCACATTATCCTTGCTCTTTGCAGAAAAGCAAACTGCTTCAAGTAAAACAAATTACTGTATCTTACAACAACTAATTCTCCACAGAAGTGGAAGTGTTTTGTACTACTTTACTACAGAGCATCACCTCTGAAATACCATGCCTCTTGACTGAGGTAGTGCGTTGAAGTGATCTGGCACAGTCAAACAGCCACATTCAGGACTGCCCATTCCTTCCCTCTCCCAGAAGCTGCAATCCCTTGAACGATAATTGAGTGAGCTACGCTAACTCAAAGGGCAGCTCCTGCCCACAGAAGCAGGACCCATTCAATCCCCCTTGGTCGAGCTGCACAACTAGGTCTCCCTGTCCCTTGCTGCTTGTACACATCCGACTTCAGACGGTGAGCAAGCTCAGCAAGCTAATCCAGCAGAACATTTCTCCCCTCTTGCAGAATATAAATTTTCTTTAATTCCCTAAAGTGGCTCACAACAAGATGAGACACCCAGCAGTGCTGGCATAACACAGAGAAAAGCAGGTAGAGAGTAGGACCAACCCATCTCATAGTGGATAGCCGAAGATCATTTCTCTGCTTACAACCAAGAGACTCCAGTCCTGCACCCAAATCCAGGCTCCATGGACACCCTAATTTGGAAAAGCCAGCCAAGTAATGGGCAATACAGATCAAAGTAAAAGAAAAAAGGCAGGTGTGGCACAGCTGCTTTTAACTTGCAGACAGACTGCCCCAGCTGCATATCTCAGAAGTTTCCCAGCACTCAATTAGGTAGTAGCCAAGCAATTTAACCATTTTTTAAGAAGCTTTACGGACTTCTGTGTAGTTTATAATCATAATTTAAAGTACAAAGCAACCAAATGCTAAACATTTAATACATACTTCTGACAGATATATTGCCCCAAAGGATTCAGTTGCAGGTACACAGGTGTGTCAAAATTAGAGACTCTTCTGATGCAACACAGTTAACAAAATTTCTTCTGGTGCCAACTGCTGAAAAATCCATTTTCTTTAGCAAACCAATGCTAGTTTACATGAGATGAGAAGATGGTCCAAATTCACCACAGTGAAATCATTCACTGTATTAACTGATTGGGCCCAGAGCCTCCCTGCTTCAATTCCCAGGCCTAGCAGAGTTAGACAAAAATAAGGATGAACAAAGTATCTGCAACAATATGCATGACAAACAAATATTTTGTGGACATTTTATAGCACCATTTTTCAGAATACAGATCATCTGTTCACAGAAAAAGCACAGAAAAGCTTTAGGAAGCTCATTCTAAAAAAGGTTCACTTTAGTCTGCTAAGCTCTTATCTACATTTTTAAAAGAAGGTATTTCAAACAGATTCATACATAATCTACCCCCTAAAGATAATTAGGTTGTGGTTTTAGATTTTTTTTTTTTTAAAGATCCTCTAATGAGAAATCTTACCAAAACAGAAATGAAAGGAAATTATTTAAAGAACACTTAAACAGTCCCATGCCCTAAACTGGTGACCCATATCCACAACAGCATGCAATACTGTTACTCCAGAGACGCAAGCAATACAGAATACCAAGTTCAGGGACAGAAAATTAATTACAAAAGAATATCCTTTACCAGACAAATTAATGACGAAATGCAAGGCAGCAGTAACTACAGTTCTCTTCAAAATGGGATGTGTATCAAAATCCAATTCATATTGGACATACACATCAATCCACTGTCTTACGTGAAAACAAATCTGAAAACATAGTAATATACCTTCTCTACACACAAGGAAAAAAAAAATCAGTGCTAAGCCAGCTTTAATACAAGGATGAAAGGGTGATTAAAAAAACAATTAAGAAGTTCATAAATTGACCTTCTCATACCGACTTCCGTTCTCCTGCAGATTTTAACCCTCCCCACTCACACAGCAATACAACTCCCAGGCTACTGCACACTTCAAACAACCAAAACTACAAACAAAACCCAGGAAAACATGCAACCTGACTTATACAGTCTGTCCCCAGATAAGTTTTAGTTTTCACTGTACAAGTCCAACCCAAGTTTTGAAAGAGAGTAAGGATAAGTAAGGACTTTAATAATTAAATCTAATTATTTGAATTCAATAAACATACACAAGCTTACAGGGTCAGACCCTCTCTGATGCAGTATGAACAGGCAGCATGATAAAAGAAAGTGGCTTTGGACTATTAGCACCTGACTCCCAAAGTTTAAATAACTTGTCCTTGTGCAGTCTCTGCTCCACTTTACAAGTTAAACTAAATCTGAAAGGACCCTTCAAAAGATCATTCCAGCAACTGAAGTTGTTGGGAACCACTGTTTGACATTCAACATCTCCACTCCTGCATAAAAGGACTAGGATGCCGTATGTCAAAAACAGATGACTAGAAAAATCCAAATGCCCACGGTTCTCACATCTCCCCAAAAACCAACCTGCACAATTCTGATGTCCAGATACCATTCAGCAGAAAATAGGCTCCAACAAGTCTAACAAAAGCAACAATACAGCTAAATTTTGC